GTGTTAAGACCTGTTCTTGGAAAGTCCACATTTATCTATTTAGACGATATCATTATTACTAGTGATAATCTCGACCAACATGTACAGGATTTAAGACAGGTGTTTTCTTTATTAAATGAGGCCGGTCTAAAAGTTAATGTCGAAAAGTGCAAATTTGCAGCCCCTGAATTAAAACATTTAGGTTACAAAATATCTCAAAAAGGGAATCGAGACAGACGAATCAAAAATAATCGCTGTACAAAAGTATCCGACTCCAAACACGGCAAAGAAGCTCTCTTCTTTTCTAGGACTTTGTTCATATTATAGGTCCTTTATAAAAGATTTTGCAGCTATCGCTGAACCATTGTTAAAATTAAAAAGGAAAAAGGCAAGATTCTCGTGGACGGCCGAAGCCAATAGTGCTTTCGAAAAATTAAAACAAGCATTAACGCAAGCCCCTGTGTTGAAATTTCCTGAAAAGGATGAGAATTTAGAAATTTCAGCGGATGCTTCGGATTATGCGGTAGGAGCGGTACTTTCGCAAAATCAGCAGCCCGTGGCATTTTTTAGCCGAACTTTAAATCAAACACAAAGAAACTATTCCGCGACCGAGAGAGAGGCACTTGCAGTTCTGTTAGCAGTGCAAAAGTTCCGAGTCTATTTTGGAAAGGCGCCGATAACAGTGTATTCTGATCATGCGGCGGTAACTAGATTGTACTCAGGGAAAAAATTTATCCCCAAGGTTAATAAGATGGGCACTCAAGCTGCAAGAATATAATCTGGTAATCAAGCATACCCCCGGAAAGGAAAATATCGTAGCAGATGCCCTATCACGAATTAAAATAGATGAACAAGGTAATACCGTAAAGGTGGCAATGCTCACAGCATGTACAATAAATTCCCGAGAAACTGTAATAACCGAACTGGGTAAGGATCCTGAGTTTGGAAGTATTTATGAGTATTTGAAGGATCCTGAAAATTTTAGCCACCAAGATATTGTGGCGATAAGAAATAGGGCGGCCCATTACGAACTAATAGATGGTCTATTATTTTATACAAAAACTACGAATTCCAACAACGAATTTCGACCTGTTATCCCAGCTAGTCTTAGATTAAATATCCTGCAGGAGCTCCATGACAGCCCTTTAGCTTCTCATGCTGGTATTCGAAAAACTATCCAACGCGTACGCGAGGCAGTCTACTTTCCTGAACTGCAAAAGTTAACAAGGGCGTATGTCCAGTCCTGCCCAACATGTCAAGCAGTTAATTATATTAATTTCCGCCCGGCCGGGTTTCTAAATAGTATTAAATCCGAATTTCCAAATGAAATAATTGGCATCGATTTATTGGGCCCTTTCCCAAAAAGTCAGTTAAATAAAAGTCGCTATCTCCTTGTTATGGTTGATCATTTTAGTAAATGGACCGAAATTGTTCCCTTAAAACGAGCCTCCGCGAAATTAGTTACTGATTCTATTTTAAATAAATATATTTTAAAATACGGGGCGCCCCTAAAAGTTATATCGGATAATGGTCCTCAATTTGTAAGTAATATATTTGAAGACATGTGCCAAAAAACTGGGCATACGTCATTTAAAAATGGTCCCGTATCGGCCGCAATCAAATATAGCGGAACGGGTCAATAGAAATATAGTGAAAATTATCCGTAGTTATGTTAAAAATTTTCATAAAAGCTGGGATAACTATGTCAATGAATTTGCTTTCGCCCTTAGGACCGCAAAAACATGATACAACGGGCAAAAACTCCTGCTGAGTTATTTCTAGGCAGAAAGATTATAACGCCGTTAGATAAATTATTTTATGTGCAACAAAGAGCCCCAGAATTTAAAATGGGTGATATAGAAAAACTAATTAAAGAAGCAAAAAAGAATACTGAAGTAGCACAAAGAAAACAAAAATTTATTATGATTGAAACGACGGGGAGTAACTTATAAAGTAGGGGATGAAGTTTTAAAAATTAAGCATTCACTTTCTTCAGCACCAGAAGATAAAACTGCCAAATTTTTCCCCACGATTTGAAGGACCATATGTTATAGAAAAAATAACTCACGCTGTTGTAGTGTGTTAAAAGCCAGAAATGGTGAAACCTGTTCCGCAAACATTGATCAAATCAAACCATACTATCGATCGTAATAAAATGCAAATCTTTTCAGATCTTTTGCAGGATCCGGCACGGCAGACACCGCAGGTACAAGCTCCAGAGGTGGGAAAACGACAAGTACAAGGGCAAGCCAATGAGAGACAGAAGCAAGTGAAAAGAAAATTGCCCCGCGGAAAAATTGAAGGTAACAAGAAAAAGAAGCCGTTCCACCACCGTCCAGAAAAGAGAGTTCACGACGAACACCCCCAGAATGAAGAAGGGAGAAGGACGACGTATGTGAAAAGACCAGGAGAAATGACGGCAACTATAACCCGGCTCTAAAACGGAAGATCTACTCATCCGACAGAACTCTCCGCAGCAAAAGTCGCCGAACTGCGGAAGGGCCATCAGCGGCGGAGGAAAAAGTTACAAGAAAAATTTGAACGGCCAACAACGAGGTCCAAGCAGGAACACGACAGAAGTTTCCCGGTTCCGCCAAGACCAGCTGCCATCAAACGGCCAAGACCACAAGCAGAGGAAAAAGGAAGGTATTCAAGGGTGGCCGAACTGGTGAAAAAGGAAGCTTCCAGAGGAAAGCACTGAAGGGCGAGCCCGTACAAGAAGGAGGATAAACCAAACTACGTCTGCAGCTACCTTTAAAGACTGGGCCCAGAAAAGGATGTCCGAATATCACAAAGATAAGTAAAATTTTATGTTACTTTGCAAACTTAAGTTAATCTTTCATTCTTACTGCAAGTGGCAGATTTCAAGAAGTTTTACCTCATGCGAGGTCTACCTTTATCGCCAAAAGGGCGAGAAATGAGTTGTTACCGATTTTCTTATTATGTTTTTTTTCAATTACTCGCGCGTAAAACTAAAGTTGATGTATAATAGCGTTGTGTAAAGACTTAAATATTGTAAAAAGTTATTGTATAAATTTTATTTAAAACATTCTAGGCAAGAAAGAAGTTTTAGTCTGAAAGACTTTTTGAAATGTAGTATTATTTCAATGTAGAAAGAATTGGCACTTGCTTTGAAAAGAATAGAAGTTAACAATGTACTACTAATGTATGTTTTCAAATGTGTAAAATTAACGGCATGTTGATATGTTCTTATATACAATGTGAACTGTTATTTTAAAATGTTAAGAAATACCGTGATATGGTAAAAGTGAAAGTAATGTTAAAAATTTGTTATTCGTGTGACTGTAAAAAGATTAAATCATGGTGAATATGTGTTAAAGGTTGAATGAATGTAGTTAGGCTCTCTGACGCTACACTTTAGAGTTAGCCACTTTCAGAATAGTACCTCAGGGTTTAGAGTTGAAATTAGGGGTGTGTTAAGAGGTCTTGTTATGTTGAATTTTAACACGTTAGTGTTTTGATTGTAGGAGGAAGTGTTGAACACGTAGACAGAAACACATTCGTGTTTGGTGTTCTTTTACAACACATGTCAGAGAGCACGGGGAGAGATAATTAAAAAATAGTCATGAATGAAATAAGAATGTTAAGAGAAATATAATTCTATATGTTACTTGCCATTTCATTGTGTAACATTTCATTAAACTAGTTTTCCTTCCAGATCTCTGGAAGGAACCAGAATTGAATAAAAGCTCCTGTTTAGATGCAGTACAGATGAAAAAAAAAAAAGATTGTTGTATATTCCTGGGAGCTGCTATTGTAAAAACAAATTTCTTTCTTTTTAAAATTTTCTAGTTTCTAGCGAAGTTAATGTTTGTAAAAGATTGGCCTCGCGTTAGATTCTAGAGCTAAAAGTTTTCAACAAGGTCGTTTTAGACCTCAGTTTCAAACTAATTAACTCTGGCGGGAAGTATGTAAGGATCTTAAGTTTTACTAACGTTTATTTTATTTTAAATCTTTACTATCACTTCTTATTTTCTACTTCCGGCCAGAATTATAAGCGTTAAGGAGTTTATGCAAAGTTTGTCTGGCGAACGCCAAGTATTTAAGTTGTGGCCTTTTTGCCAAGCGAGAGAGAGGAAGCAGTGAGTTCGAAGCAGGCCGCTTACCTTAGAAGTTTTACGCAGTTGCTACTTTTTGCCTTCCAGGCCAGAGGTTTTAATCCTCTTGATAAATTTAAACGTATTGTAGTGTTCACAGTCTCTGTGCTACATACGCTTCCTGTTATTATAAGGCCAATCTTCCACGTTCCTAAAGTTAAATTAGAGTTTAGTTTTATTTTTATATCTTTTACGTTAGACCCCGAAGTGGAGGGTCATTGTATTCCGAAGTACGGAAGTCATTGTATATAAGAAAAAAATAAAGGGTTTTGTATACCCTTCGTCTGTATCCTGTCTACTTACCCACAATTAGTGAACATAGCTTTAGTAAGCTCTCTGTTCTAGTCAGGTCATTGTATGTTTCCGAAGAAGGTAGACGGAACATTGAATTATTACCCTTTTAAATGGATACAAAAAGCCCGTTGCCACTGGTTTTTTTTAACATCCAAAACCATGAAATCCTTGAAAAAGAACTGGCCAGAATTTTGATCAATTCTGCAGCTGACCAAAATTTTTCAGTGATGTGTGTAGTAGTATGTTAGAAAGAGTGCACCAATTCCACCATCGTCGCTGTATGTTGGTGGTCAACTCTTCCGAGGAATTACTATAATTAGTCGTGATTAAAGTTGTTTTTTCATCTGTGTATTCTTATGTTTGCTCTTACTCCTGATTAAATGACAGCTTCAATTAAACGGCCATGCATTAAATGACAGATAATAATAATAATATATTCGGTGTGTTTTGTCACCTCTTAAATTATGTCCCATTTTTTAAACACCCTAAATAGCTATTTGTGGCATGTTATTTATACTATGCTGCTGATTATCTTAAATGTATGTGTTCAACTTATCAGATTGTAGAACAATCTAATTAAGTTTAAAATTCCGTTTTGCTCTTCCCAAGACAGGGGTGTGACTATCGACAAGAGTGTCTTCTTCGTCTCCGCTTTCTCCATCGGGGATCTTGTAGGCAGACTCAGCTTCGGGTGGATAGCAGATATGCAGTTCATTCGAAGAAGCAATTTGATTCGGAGCTACCTTTTCGTTATGGGAACTTTAACTGCAGTTTTGCCATTCTGCTGCTATGTCGAGCTTTTGTTTGCAGCGTCTATAGTCCTAGGAATTCTCAGCGGAAGCGTGATGGTGAACCATTCTGTGCTGCTAAGTGAGTACCTTGGTCTACAGAAGCTACCAATAGCTATGGGATTTTCAGTGTGTTTAGTAGGTCTCACTTCCTTCTTGAGACCTGTAATCATTGGTAAGGCAACTTTAGCAGTTTAACTATTTCTTTTCTCAATGAATTTAATTTTGTAAGCAGATTCAAATGTTTAATAGAATTTTTTTAATTACGAAGAAAATATTTTGCTTTCTTCTTTGAAATACTTTTCTTTCCATGCATTCAAATGCATGATGGGCCCTATTCAAATATATGATCAGAAATGCTATTTCCATTAAAGATTATTATTAAATTAAACAAAAATTACAATAATTTATGCTAAAATATATACTTAAAAATTAGAGAGAATTATTGATGGAGGAGATGAAGACATCCAATATTTATGTGTGCAAATGGTAATAAATTAAATTATAATAGCAATTGCTGAACAAACCTATAACATAAAATTAATGTTTCAAATTCTGATGAAGAAGATGGATACATTTAATTATTCGTGTACATGTTTCTTAAAATTAATAATAAAAGTTATTCTTTACCCCCAGAAAATTTAGTTTAATTCTTTGAAATGCAGCATTTATTAAAATATATAATATTTCTCTTCATAATTCTGATTATCATTTTTTGAAGTTATTTAAAGCTTTTAATCTCTGTTTCATTCCTAAATTGCACTTTACCTTTTAGTCTAAAATTCTGCCCTATGCTGGAAAATTAAAAAAAAAAAAAAAAATTAAATGATATAAAAAATCTGAAAGGTTTCAGATTTTAAATTACGTCCAAAGGAACGTTTTTTTAACCTTTTGTGTGTTACCTTTATTTAAGTTTTTACTTGTTTAAGTTTACTTGTTCTGTGCACTTAAACCATAAAGTTCAGTTCAACAGCAATGTCGCAAAATAATTTTAAAATGGGCATATTTTTAGAATTTCCGATATATAGTCCCGCGCGCTAGAGATATTTTTTTTTTTTTTTTTTTTTTTTCCCCGTAGAGTGTTGCCATTGCTCGCTTTTAAATCGTTGAGTTTGTTAATCAAAAATTCGTTTTACAAAATCTGTAATCGATAATAAAACAAATTCCAAATTTCAAATTTGGGCTTTCAGATGCCCATATTTGTAGTAGGATTACGTCATTCAAAATTGGATGGCTCTAGGTACCGTTGTTCTATCACAATGCGAGAAACATGCATACATTTATGCAGATTCTTCATTATTTAGTTTCTTCAAATATAATACAAGGCGATAGTATTTGATGGAAACGATTTGAAAAACAATACGCCATTTATAGGGTTCCGGCGCAAAATGGCAAAACGAGAACAATAGTCCTTCAGGGATTAAGCCCCTTTGAACTAATAATAAATATATAAATAAATAAAGTCCTCCTTGAACTCGTTGAGTTGCAAATATTGGCTTTGAATAACTGAATTTGTCAAGAACTTGTAGAAAACTTCCGAAATCCAGATATTCAGAGCAGAAAAACTGTCTTCCATTTCCTATGATCATCCGGTTACAGCCGAAAACATCGCGGCAAAAACAACGCGGACGAAAACGTCGCGGAGAAAACAACGCAAGGCGAAAACATCGTGGGAGAAAACATAGCAAATTGAAAACATCGTACTTCTAAAACGTCGTGGTATAAAATATCGTCGTCGAAAATAAAGCGATTCAAAAACTTCCCAGTTTAAAAACATCGTTGTCGAAAATATCGTGGCAAAAATAAAGTATCTACAAATGGTCGCATGACGATAACATCGCAGACACGCTTTTTTCAGGCTTTAATAACTATAAATGGATATTCCCATAATGATCTATGAGCGCAAGATGGAAAGAAGAATAATTTTACTTTCAAATTATAATTAAATAATAAATTTTTGCTGATAAAGTAAGAAGGGAACTTAAAAATTTAATGCAACTTAGAGTACTTGATGGAATTTTAAACCGACATAGTTATCTAACAAAGCCCAGTAATAAATCGTTTTTTATAAAGTTTTTACTGTTAATTTTTCATGAAAAATACAATCTAAAAAAGATTAGAAAAGGAAGGCAAGTAACTACATGACCTTATCTATAAAAAAATTGCTTCTGTAAAAAATAAAAACTTTATAAGCAAAAATTTATTAGTTAATAATAAATATGAAAGCAAAAATTATCCTTCTTTCCATCTTGCGCTCACAAATCATTATGGGAATATCCATTTACAATTATTAAAGCCTGAAAAAAACCACTTGTCTGCGATGTTATCGTCATGCGATGATTTGCAGATATTTTATTTTTTACCACGATATTTTCGACGACGATGTTTTTAAATTGCGAAGTTTTTGAACCGCTTTATTTTCGACGACGATATTTTGTACCACAATGTTTTAGAAGTGCAATGTTTTCTCTTTGCGATGTTTTCTCCCACGATGTTTTGTAGCACGACGTTTTCGCTTTGCGTTGTTTTCTCCGCGACGTTTTCGTCCGCGATGTTTTTGCCTCGATGTCATCGGCGGACACCGATCATCCTGGCGGAAGGTAGGAAATGCAGATCAGTAAGTGCTACGGCATCCATCTTTCCGAAGTGATTACAACAAAGGATAGCATTACTATAAATGAAAAAAAAAAAAAAAAAAAAAATTGCTATGAGACCGAAGTAATAAATAAACGAAACATATTTAATTTCAATTTATTACTTATGTATTTCTCTAGCTATCTGAGCATCAATTATCTAAAGATTATACTTATCAAAACAGAATTAACTGCTTTTTTTTTTTTTTTTTTTTTTTTTTTTGTAGGTTTCTTCCGGGATGAGCGACAGAATTACGATCAGCTGTTCATATTTTTAGGACTGCTTGTCATATCTATCACTCTCATATGGTCTTTAGAACTGCTTTCTCATTTCATCAATCGTTATCGTAATACTGTAAATAAAATTTTACCACAATGATACAGTTTTGCTCTTTTATGCTGTCAAGTAACATTTTTACACCAATTATACGTTTGATCAACTAGCCGTCTAATATAGTTATTACAAAAGAGGGAAAACATACAGTACTTTTAATGATTCCCCAGCTAGTGTAACTTCCTAGATCCAGCTAGTAATTAATAACAATAGAGATAAAGAATTCTGATTATTTTCTGAAATCGTTTAGTCTGGTAATCAGTAACAGATTAAATTTGAAAGAAAAGATAAATATTTAGGCTTTGCCGAATGACATCAGACTGCGCGAAAGACAAAAATACTTTTTCCATTTATTGGCAACACCTTTCTGTTAAATCGCTGAGTTTTATGATTAACTTATATATATATATGTATGTAATATATATATAAATATGTTATACTTTGCCGAGCGGCAACACATTTCTTTTAAATCGATGAGTTTCTAATTAAATTTGAAATCTTATTCATTGCCATCTGGCAACACATTGCTTTTAAATCGATGATATGACATTGCAATTTAAAAATTCCATAAATTTTCAAGAAATATGGAATGAATAAAAATAAATTGCAAATTCAAAATTTAAGCTTTGTGGTACAGGTGTTCGGGTAGAATACTGTGTGTATTTAAAATTTGATCGATGTATTTAAAATTTGGTTCAAAATTTGGTAGGTATAGATGGTGCCATTTTATCAAGTTGCAACATGCATCATAAATTATAGTTAAGAACTGTTACGATTTAATAACTTAAATGTTGCTCTTGAGCAGGGCTCCCCCCATATGTTTCTGACAGTCTACCCTTTCAAGAATTTCTCAATTTTTATCGACCTCCTTCTACAGAATAGTTGCAGTTAAAGTGACTCTGCTCAGACTTAAGAAGAGCCAGTTCTGGTTGACGTATTTCATTGAAACATATGTTATTATGTGGAGCATGAGAAAAAGAAAACTGAAATAAAAAATTAATAGTTCAGATTTTGACAACTATATGCCGCATTTCATGCATGAGTTGTAGAAAGTCCGTTATTCAAATTGGGAAATACTTTAAAATGCCCAGTAGTCGATACTTTCACCCTGCCTTTAGGAAAGAAACGTCGATCATTACAGATCAAGTGATATCATCAGAACTGTAGTAATACTTAGCCCTACATTTGCCTGAAATCTGAGGAGTTGATGAAAGCTTCTTTTATCGTGATGACTTTTTAACTCTCTAATCATTTACATTTATTACCCCAGAATCACGATGGCCTCTTAATGAAAATGGATTTCTCCCACGAAAATCAGTGTTCTTATTAATAAGGTTTTCTCGATTTTCTTTAGCTTGATGAGAGCTGGCGATATCAATTACGTCAGCAACGGATTATTTGCGGCCGAGAAAATAAATTTTTAAAGTATTAGCAATTAATAAGGAATACTCATATTTTTCTGTTGGTGACACTGAATGTTTCAATAAATTTTCTGTTATTCTGAAAGAGGTCTTTCACTAATTACACTAAAGCTTCCTTGTTTGAATCGCATGCTGATCCCTTTGAGAATATTATGCAATATTTATAATACATTCCAGTTTTAATTTTAAAATACGATAGCCAAGGGAATTCAAATAAAAAGGTACATTTTATTTTTACTTCAAGTACGAACTAAAGTATATACTGTAATCGCGAAAATTTTCAGTTATCATACACTGAAGTGCCACTGAATTAGGGATAGACATGGTTATGCAAATTTTGTAGCGCTGCACCGCATTTATGCTGATGTGAGGGCGTTGTGGTAACTGCATATATAGCTAGTACTATGATTGTTATTAATCAGTCGTTCAATTGACAGTGTGTGTAAAGCTTCTGATTAAGACATCTTCGATCGCGAACACACAGTAGGCGCTCGACGCATGGGCATTCAATTTCCGAAATCGTCAGAGGTCTAGGATTTTTACGGTCGACAATATCAAGAGTATACCGAGAATACACGAGCGATCGGGCAAATTGCGTAGGACAATTAGCCAGTAACCAGCATGGTGTCAGACGACTCAGCCGTACTGTACACAGCCAGCGAAGCCAAGCATTAGTTCAAGTTACAACCCAGCTGAATCAGGGAGCCAGTCGTGTAGACATTAAACGGATCGTGCAATGCTTGCTTCACCATATAGGCTTCGGCAGCCGTTAACCCACGAGAGTACCATTACTCAATGTATGCCATCGAGCGCCACGTCTTGCATTGGCAAGAGAATACAGAGAATGGACTCTATAGAATTGGAAACGAAAAAAAAACATGAAATGAAGAGTCTCGATTCCGACTCCATCACCGATGGCAGGCTGAGAATATAGTATCAGACTCATGAAGCCATTCATCCTGCATGCTATGTGGAAACTGCACAAGGCCATGGTGGCTCAATTATGGTCTGCAGTGCTTTCTGTTAGCAGTGTATGGGACCTTTAGTACTTGTACCATCCTCCCTAAATATGATTCGATACGTAAAGTTGCGGGGCGGTCATCTCTGTCCATTTATGTTGCCTTGTCTTTCACATGGAAATGGAGTATTCCAAAAACATAACTGCACCACTCACAAGTCTCGGTTGGTTACTGCATGGTTGGATGAACATTCCTCTGACTTCAATGTCATGTACTAACTACCTAGAAGCCCTCACCTAAATCCTACTGAGAACCTTTCGGATGTTTTGGAGAAAGGTGTGAAACTACATCATATAAAACAACCGACCCTTGCTGAATTATGAATACATCTATCCTATGTTTGGCAAGCTATTCCCGTAGAATGCTGATTATAACCTCGTCGTGTGGTAGCCATTATCAAAGCCAGCGGAAGCCCAGCTCTTTATTGAAATTCTATCCCTAATTCAGTGGCACTTCAGAGTATTTCAACGGGAATATCCATTTTGATCATTCCCGAACCAATTTAAAAGATTTTTTTGCATGACGTCAGTACGTACGAACAGAATAAAGGATTTTGTTTTCCAAAACGTATTGTAAAATGAATTATTTATTTAAAAGGGATTTTTTCCGTGACATCTTCTACGTACGTATGTAAGTACGGATGGCTGTATGTATGTACGGATTTTGCATTACTCAAAAGCGATTATTTAGTTGTACACCTCTTTTTTTTTATTGCACCAAACATTCCCTTACCCGGCATATATATATATATATATATATATACGCACAATCTTACACGGCTTTAAAGTCCTTACCCGGCCTTTATTTTCGCAATCGCTGGCCATAGTCACATATTTTCAATTAAAGAAGTGTTTTAAATGACTGTGTTGCACGTGCATCCATCTTCAGGGCCATCAAGAGCATTAGATATCCCCATTTTTTTTTTTGAAATTCTGCACTGTTATTGCTTCATCAATGAGAACTCATGCACCCAAAATCCACCAGCAAATCATAAAATGAATAGTGAGATAAGAATAACCCCTACAAGGGCGAATTCGTTTTAAAATTTAGAACAACTAATTTTCTGAACAATTTGAAAAAGTTGAAAATTACGTGAATAGTTAAAAAATCAGAATCTTGTAATTAAGAGAAATTTACGACAGTAAATACGGTACTCCTTTCTTTTAAATTCATGTTCTTCAATCAATACAGCAGCGCTGTGCAAAGCTATAAGGCATTAAGTTCAAGCTGAGTTTATTCCTTCGTATAGCTGAGTTTATTCCTTCGTATAGTCTAAGAACTCGTATACAAATTTTAAAGCCTCTTCATGGTTATCCTTTATTTCATCTTTACGTCTTTTGTGGAGTCTTTACTAACGAGGGGCCTTAGTCATAAAATTTTACAGCTTTATCGTTCTGAATTTTTTCCACCTGTTTTCTTCATTAATAATTTCAAACTCTTGAACAGCAAAAGTAACTTCCAGATTCTCGATAATTTTTCTTAGTTCCGACAGATCATTCCTGTTTTGCGATAGCAAACAACCATAAATTAGCATTAAACTCACCTCATCCCAAGTTTAGCAATGAGACTCATAATCCCAAAACTGTGAGTTTCTTCCAAAAAGTCAAATGTATTCTTTTCTTTTTCTTCTTCTTCTTCTTTTGGGGCAAGCTACAGCAATTTCTGTGATACGATACACAAATAGACCGCAAAAAAGATCATTCACCATATGTATAATCGAAAGTTCAGTATAGATTATTGTCAACTTCAATGATTCATCAGTAGTAAATTACCTCATAGAATACCCAAATCCATTAAGATGCTGTGTAAAATATTTTAAATATAATTAGTCTTTGATATTTCTGATTTAGTAAATTAGCAACTTCTAGCTTTTTTAATACAATGAAATTTGAGTGGACATAAACTGTCAAAGATATTTAAAAGTATCTTCTGAAAACGTTAATTTCACGGTGTATTGTGTACGTGCACAACCAAAGTTTTCCAAAAAAAAAAAAAAAAATGTGTTGTTATAAGAAAAAAGTTTTTTCCTTAGTAAAGATATTACGATGGTGAATTTCGACTAAGCTGGGTTTTACGGCAATCCCTGACGTATGATGAGTAACTACCTAAAAAAAAAAAAAAAGTGACTAAGATTCAAATTTTTAAATATCTGGGCACATTTGATCACAAGTTGCAATGATATAAAAATTGAAATAACGAATAGAATATTTATGGCTAATAGATGTTACTACGGCCTTAAAAAATAACTTAAATCCAAACTAATCAACGTAAAACTAAATTAAAATTATATAAAACTTTAATAAGGCCTGTTGCCATTTACGGAAGTGAATGTTGGATACTTAACAGAGCAAAGCCTGATATCAACTTTTGAAAGAAAAATCCTAAGAAAGATCTTTGGACCGGTACAGCAAATTGGCATGTGGAGAATTTTCATAATCATGAACTATATGGAAAATACTGGAAATATGGTGAAACTGATATTGTGGAAATCGTAAAGCCGTCTCGTATCAGATGGCTGACCATGTGTTTAGATATGATGATGCATTTCCAACCAAAAAGATAACCTTTATGAGCATTGAGGAAGTAAGACGAAAAGGAAGACCACCC